CTAATGGAAAATTTCACCATGTAATAAAGTGGGAAGAGCACATCTAAAGCAGTGTATACAATGCAGTATGATCCTGATTTTGTGCAAATACCTACGTATAATATGTAAACATCTGTATTTTTATGAGTATCTTAAGAAAAAAGCCTAGACATAAATTCATCAGAATATTAATAGTGTGTTTATCTGACTTGTAGGATTATGGTGATTTCAGTTGTATTTTATTTTTTGTCTTTTCCAAACTTTCCTCCAAAACAGCATTTTTTTTTCCAGTGGAGGTAACTGGGGATTGAACTCAGGACCTTGTGCATGCCAAGCTCGCGCTTTACCACTGAGCTATACCCTCCATGCGAAACTGCATTATTTTTGTAATAAATGAAAAACACATTTTTTAAAAAGTGGGTCAAGTGCTTGCATAAGGCCTCCCCATGAGGAATAAAACTGGGAATGGATAGCTCCTTGTTTAAGCTGCAAAAAGGGCACCCGGCGGTGCTAAGCACCCTCAGCAGGCTGCTGGAGTTCCCATGTCTCTGGGAACACAGAGCAGTGTCATGGCCACGGCCACTGCCGGCAACATAACTGGGCATTTGCCCCCCGGCCTTTAAAGCAGGTGAGAACACAAGTCCCGCCCACAAAGGATTGCAGTGTGTAGTTTTTTTAGGAAAAAGTACAGCTCTGAAATAAAACACTCACCCACAGAACACATTCTGGGAGGAGGAGGTTTAGTGGACAAGCATGGAAGGGGCTCAAAATTAGCAAACTCATTTGTAATAATACCAACAGGTACCAGTTGTTAAGCATTTATATGCCAGACATCCTAAATGTTTGTGTACATATATGATCTTTATAGTAGCTTGGAAGGAAAGAGCCAATATCCTGCTCTACAGAGGAAGAACCAGGATTCAAATCCATTTGCTACAAAAATCTGTACTCTTACTGTGCTGCCTCTTTTTCTATTTAAGGGTTTTTTTCCAGAACATGTTACTTTCCTACCTTAGTTTGAAGACAGTGAACCAGACATTATGATGACTTGGTCTTGAGGCCAGGATTGCCCTGCAAATACTAAGACTGTTGTGCATTTCGCCTTAGTTTTCTTTCCCATGCGTCCTTCTTGCCTGTCAACTGTCATTGATTTCTCATTGCTGTCAGTGGGGCTGAACTGACCACCCTTATTTATCCTTCCCATCTGGTGCACCAGATAAACATGCCACGAGGGAAATGGCCTGTGTAACATAGCCACAGTACTTGGCGCAGCAGACGGATAACTCTTGGAGTGAAATGCATGGGCTTTGATTCCGTTCACAACTGTTCCACTGCTCAGGGCTTTTCCTGTTTGATTTCACTTGCTGACTGGATGGCAAAAGTTGCTGGAAGTCTGCCAGCCAGATAGACTGGTGATAACGTACTATTTTTCAGTTGTTCTGCGTGAAGGAGGATTGCAGCTCCTAGTCATTCCTGCTGTGCACAGCCTGATTGGCAGGTGAGGTGTACTCCACAACTGTCAAGCTCTGGGTAACATGACAGACATTCCTGGTGTTCCCCTAACTAAGCCAGGCATTGGCTCGGCCTAAAGATACCAGGTGAAGTAAAAAATGAGTTGTCAAGATAATTGGCTAATTTAAGATTTAAAATTACCTAAATGTCAACCCATGATGTTGGGAAGAGAGAACTGTTAGAAAAGTCCTAGAACAGCAAACAGGTTCCATATTATGTGCCAGCTGATTTCACAATGACCACCTGGGCTCTGCTCTCAGGGTTACTGGCTGCCTCTGGGCTGTGCGGGACAGAGTTGACAGGTTCAGGTGCCTTGACTGAAGGCCCTTTGCAGATCAAAACATGCATGCTTCATGTTACAGATGGGAAATGAGGCCCGGAGGAGGAAGCCAATGGCAAGTCTTGTCTCCCAACATCTAGGTCAGAGCTTAGATGCCTACACTGACGGCGAGCTCACCACCTTCCTATGCACATGGGTAGGGTCTCTTCCTCTGCACTCGCTCCCGGAGCCCTCCCAGGTCCAGGTGGAGGGGCTGCTGTCCTGCAGCATGGCCCCAGCCTCCACCCCTGCTGCCAGACCTGCATTTCCAGAGCCCCTCCTCAGGGTGCAGTGAATTCCAGGGATGCGCGTCCTGGGCTGTGCCTGTGGGTTGGGCGGGCCCAGGATCTGCTTCTAATAACATGGTATTTCAGGGTTCAGGCAGCTGGACTCTGTCTGCTCCAGCAGGTAAATTACAGACCTGGCAAGTCTAATCAAACAAACACTCCAACTGCTGGTGGCTGCTCCAAGAATAGTGGTTTCCGGGAACCGCCCCACCCAGCTCAGCCTAATTGCCACCTGTCACTCCCCTGGGACAGGTCCCAAGGAACAGGACTGGGCTCCTGGGCACACGGGGTGATGCAGACTTGGGTGACCAGGCTGTTTTTGACAACTCCTGGACATAGGCCGGTACTGATAAGCCCTACCCTCACCCCACACCTGGCCACAGGCCAGTGTCCAGATGTGCCACCCTGGGTGGAGTGGCTCACTCCTTAGCAGAAGATGGTAGATGGTTTTCACTTCACGTGACAACTCTGATTTGTTGGCAGTGGCTGGAATTCTATCCAGATTTGAAAGAAATATCAGGGTTGGTTATTGATGATTGCCATGCAGACAAGGAACAGAAACTATGTCACCTGTGCTGGGTACTGTCATCCCAGGCCACCTGACGTATCTACCATACTTGTCTCAGCAAAAAGAGGACTTTTCCACAGAGCTGAACTCCTAATGGTTCAACATGGTGACAGATAGATGGGGTCAATGAAGCCCCCAAGATTTTTTTGTTTTTCCAAAGTGTCTGTGCACTGCATGTCTTCCCCTAGACAGCAGAGGCAGATCAAGGCAGGAAGTCAGGGAAGATAAGTGCCATTGGCCTTAGCCCTAAATCATGTTGTTCGTTCAGCTCTTTCTGGAGGTGACTCACATGCCTCCTTGTGGCCAGCAGTTTGGTAATTCAGATCCCCAAATAGAGAACACTGAGTGTGACTCCACACTTCAACAGAAGTGCCTAGAACTGCCCCGTTTTGCAAGGGAAGGGCAGGCAACCGGAGATGGACCAGGACCCATCTACACATCCCCAAACCCCATCATGGCCAGTGAAGGGCCGAAGGTGGCCATCCTGGGCTCTAGGTGCCTCTCAGTTCATCCCACGTCTGCCCACAGCTGAGCCAGCAACAGACAGGCATGGTCCTCAGACAAACTTTGTGCCAATGCCAGAGGATGCCTCCAAGGCGGCTGGGGAAGAACCCTGCTTGATGACTCAGACCAGCAGGACTGGAGGCCAGAAGTCTATCCTGACCTCAGGCAGGGCAGAGCGGCCTGGAGATGGCTGGCTGGCCGGAGGTGGGCAGGGAGGGAAGGGAGGGCCCTCGTCGCAGCCCCTGCTGAGCTGTGACAGCGTCGGAGGTCCCCGCCGAGGGGGCTTAGTGCCTGGGGCGGGTGCGGGCTGGTCAGTGGCAGCCGCAGGCCCGGACCACCATGTTGCGGTGCTTGCGCAGGATGACATTGTTGCTGCTGTCGTAGTACAGCACGGAGGTGGCGCTCAGCTTGGTGGGCGCGCAGCACGCCTTGGGGACCACGTCCGGCTTCATCAGGTGCACCTGGCCGGGGAGGGGGCGGCCGGCAGAGGCGTGAGAACCAGGGGCTTCTCCCGGGACCCCTAGGCCCAGCCCCCAGCTCTGCCTGGGGCTCCGGCCGCTCCCCACTCCCTGGGTCCGCCTCCACCTGCAGCAGGGCCGGTGCTGGCGGGAACCCTGCCCCTCTGCCCTCAGGCCCAGCCTGGGCACCTGCTGGCTCCCTGCCACACCCCTCCCCCCAAGACGGGACAACCCTGACCCCACTGGACCCAGCACATGTGCCCAGTCCTCCTTCCTGGTGCCCCTGCAGCACCGCCCCCTGGAGCCCCCCTGCTCCTCTGTCTTCTCTGTGCTTCTTAACGTCCCTGATCGTGTCTCATCGGCATTAGCTGTTGAAGGTCTGTCTGCCCCTCTGGACTGTGCGTCGGAGAACGTTCACACTACACCTGCTCACGCCCAGGCTTCTAGGCAGGTATTGTTCTCGGCAGGTGACAACTGAGGCACAGAGGCCGGGCCACGTGGCCGATGCTGCGGCACGACTGGGACCCAGCGTGGGGATCCCACTACCCTCCTCCAAGCAGCTCTACCCTCAAGAGACAGCCTGATTGAGGGAGCTGTTTCAGCCTCCACCAAAATATTTATCCCGAGACTTGGCAGGATGAGCTGAAACTTATACTGGACTCTTCAGTGGGGCCCCACTTGGAAGGGCCCTAACGATAGCCCTGCACCCATCGGAGGCCAGAGAGAAAGGAGAACCTGCTTCCATCCATCTGGGCCCCCCTGGCCCTCCTGGGAGCTGCTAAGCAGGGCTTGGATAAACCTGGCTGATGCGGTCCCCGGGCCCAGCCTTGTCCTAGAAGCCCCAGCTCTGAGCCAGCCTGTCTCCAGGACCGTTAGCCGGGCACTGGGCTGGCTTGGGGCCTAGAGCCTCGGGCCCCTGAGGGGAGCTGAGGCCTCTGTGGGGATGTCCAGCCCCACTGAGCCATGGGGGTGCTGCTCCCCAACTTCCCAGCCTCTGCATGCGGCAGCTGGGCTTGCCTTTCATAGGCCCACGTGAAAGAAACCAGGCAACACCACCCACCTGCGCCAATCCTGTAAGTGCCTTGAAACCAGGGAGGGCCTTTCCTGGACTGGGACCCTGGAGAGAAAAGTTGGCACCACAGAGGGTGGCTATTCTGTGACTCCCCCCTAGACCAGAGCTTCCCCAGGTGAGGGACAAAAAGAGAGATGGCCTTTTGTTCCATCTGCACCAAACAGATTGATTTGGAGTCTAATGTGCCATTCCATTCAATCCGCTTTTGAGCCACGTGGGAGACTAACTCAGAGGTCCTGTTACTTACTGGCCGTATATCCTTGGATAAAAAATCATACATCTGTGGACCTCAGTTTTCTCCTCTGCCAAATGGGTATAATGGTACTTTTCTCACTTCCAACACAAACGTATCTCCAACACATACCTTGTGCGAGCCCTGCCTGGGTGAGGAGCACAGAAATGTCCCCACGTGGTCCCTGCTGTCATCCTCAGCAGGAGGGGAGGGGAAACAGAACATTCCAGTAGACAACCAGGACCCACGGGGGGGAGTGGTGCAACAGTCACAGAAGGCCCCCTGAGCCCGGGACACAAGTGCTGGAGAGCGACCCTGGCTGGGAAGGACCACAGAGGTGAGGTGTGCAGGGTGAGCAGGAGCTGCCAGGGCCCAGAGCTGAGGAGGCCCCCAGGGGCGCAGGCAGGGAGGTGGGAAACGCAGGGCACATCCTGGGGCCGAGTGCGGGCAGGGAGGTGAGGGCACTGGGACGTGGGCTGGAGGACATCAGAGAGGTTGGCAGGGTAGCCAGTAAGGGGCCCCCCTGCATACCAGGCAAAGGGCTCAGACTTTCTTGCAGGGATAACAGGGCACAA